TTTTTTTTTTTTTTTTTTTTTTTTTTTTTTTTAGCTTTTCTCGAGACATAACAACAGATGTTTTTTCAGCATCTCTCAGTGACCCTCGCACTGTGCATACATAATTTTATGCATGACATTGTCGATCGGAGGCTCCAGCTGCCAGACGCTTCGTGACAAGGGAATGATTTCCATTTTGTTGTTCCCCTTTCACCTGTTTTCATCTTCAGTTGGAGCTCTTTTCTGTCAGCCTTGTTTGATGTGCCATTTGATATGAATGGTAATCCGGCGGCAGGATGATTTCTTCGTCAGATCAAATGTGCACGAAGCCGTGAATGGATACTCTTCAGTGGGGAGAGAAAAAAAAGAAGGTATGATATGAGCAAAAGCCGAGACAAATATTGTAGTAGGGTGGCATTATACAGCTAGTATTAATATTAGCCCTATTCAAGAAATGGATCAGTCATGAATGTATAGACTGTTGCATAATTCCAGGCTGAAATCTGAGGCAGGGACACCTACTCTGTGGAAAGATATACCTTATTTAGATTCATCCATGTGTCTCTGTGTCAGATTTGCTCTGAATAAATGAATTTAAGAAGGAAAGCAAGGCAGAGAGGGAGAAGGATTATGAATGAATCAGTGGTAGAGACCAGTAGTAGTGGTGTGCATTGAAGAGGATTAATGGAGGCATTTAAAAAAAAAACAGTCTAGACTTGTTTCACCAGTGGGTCAGCCTTCTGAATATATTCCATAAATTTGCAATTCAAGTGTTCCTCGATTTTTTATTACTGACTTCCTGTTTTTATTAAGGTTTTAAGAGCAAACTTGGACTACTGTCAAGTGCATTAGCCCGACATCAGCCAAAATCTGCCACACATCATTTGATCAGATCTGTATTTGATTTTGTTTTTTCTTCTGGTCTTCAGTCTCATCCTGGTTGCCATGACCGAGGTGTGCAGGTCTTTTGAGGTCAGAGAGCAGGTGTCACTGCACTGAGGTCTGCTGTCCCAATGAGCAAAGCGGCCAACCCACAGAGACGCACCACCTACCTCATATCCCTCACTCTGGTGAAGGTTGAGGCTTTGCCAGAGGATGTAGCAGGAAGCCAGACGGAGGCTCTTCCAGAGGGGGAAGGGAGCCCTAAGAAGGAGGAAGAGGAGGAGAAGGAGGAGCTGAACATTACTCCTGACAGGGAGGAAGAACCTGTGTGTTTGGAAGTGGCAGAAAAAGAAAACACAGAAGTAAAAGAGGAAGTGGAACAGGTGCGGGTCAAGTATGGCAGCCCTAGTGAGAACAGAGGGAAGCCTGAGAGGAGGGATGGACACCAAAAAGACACTGTATCGGTTGGTAAGAGCAAAGACGCTTCTTTTGAACACCCACCTGTCAAGCAAATGGTTAAAGTATACGGAGGAACTACCACAGAGGGAACTGCGCGCAGAGAGGGACCTCGCTCAGATGCCTTGCGCCCTAAGACTGAGCTCTACCGGGAGCCCCCCATGCTCTTCTTAAAGGGCGAAAATGGAGCGGACTTGAGCGGTCGTTCACGTTGCAGCCTCCCGTTTTCTGTCCCATCACAGGTCAGCCCACGTCCTGAAGTCTTGATGAGATCCCACGCAGGAGGTAACTCTGCATGGAGGGAGTTCAGAGAGACCAACACAACAACCTTGTATCACTCTGCAAAGACTTTGGACAGAAGGGATAACCGCTTTGGGGACCAGTCCCCCTTAACAGCAGCTACAACCATGGGGCCTTATAGGGCGTCCTGGGCCGACAGCGATGGCAGGGGGGCGCTCATCCGTCCCGGAGCTCCCGTCAGTGGAGGATATTCAGGCATAATGACCCGGGACAGCCCTCAGGGGGAGAGATTTAAGACAGTTTCCGTTTCCTTATCCGCTACCGACATGTCCAGGGCTCAGAGAAAGCCCACAAGTCGTACCCTGGACAACAGCGACCTACATTGCCTCTCCGAGGACCTGAAGAAGGGAAAGGAGGGACAGGGAGGAACAATCCACCGTGCTCCTCCTCCTCCCCCTCGTGATCGTAAGATGCTCAAGTTCATTAGTGGGATTTTTACCAAAAGTGCAGGCGTGCCAGCCGGCGTCAACACTCCACCTCCGCTGTATCCACCTGTGGAGAGAGGTTCGAGTGAGGAGGAAGGTAAGGCAACCTCATGAATCTACTATCTCTTCATACAAATGCAAATGAAGGCTGTAAACCAGGGGTGTCAAACTCAAATACACAATGAGCCAAAATTCAAAACTGGAACAAAGTCGCAGGCTAACGTTAATATTTATTGAAATATATTTATTCCTCCAGATATAAGAATGAATCTTTTCTTATGGACTCAAACAAGTTTTGCTGAAAAACTGAATATGGAGCAAGCAAAGCTTAATACTAAACAATATATATATTAGCTGTATAATACCAGTAGGCCAGCTCTGATAGTAATTTGGTATGGCTTCACGGGCCAAATGTAATTAGTCTGGGGCCAGAGTTTGACACCTATGCTGTAAACAGTAGCACACCAGCACCCCTTTATTTGACAGTCTCACTCTTCTGGACTCTTTTGACAGACCCAGACCTAAATTAACACGTGCTTAAGAATCAGAGTTTGTTGTACATGGCGAACAATATGAATGAGATCTCTGGTGTAAAAGTGGCAACGAAAAAAAATCATTTCAGATATATTTTGTTTCACCCAACAGCAGTCCCTCGGGAGGAAAAAAATTAGCCAATTAAGATGATTAGTTTATTCTGTGTAATTAAGTAGGGTCCCGTATTTATTACCCATGTATATTGCCTTCTCTGGAGTTTGTGTGGAGCTAAACCCCTCAACAAAACAAAACTTCTTAGTTATGCTCGAATGCGCTCGCTTATTTATTCACACGTTTAATTTATGTGAAGCACTTGGTGAAAGTTCCACGCAGACACAAGTATAGTGGAAAAAAATGCATTATCATTACTTTAGTTTGGCTTAACGATTTGTGTGAAACATCTTCTGTAATTGTTTCCTTTGCACGTTTCTCTGGGGAAATAGAAGACTTGTGTAAATAAAATAAAATAAAATAAAAAGCTAACATGAACATGTGGTACCTTTACAAGTGAGCTTTGTCACTATTGTTGTATTGCATGGTAGGTAACACCCGAAGGGCTAGAAATGTTCCAGTTACTTAAAGCTAATAGGTAACTTTTCCTATTTAGTGAGATCAGATGAAACAATTCCACTTATTCGTGGGCTCTTGGTGTATTTGAGATTAGTTTTAGGGTGGAATAATAATAAATATGTAGTCATAAACATATGAGGTGATCATGGGAGATAAGATTAGAAATGAGTGCATCAGAGGGGCAGCTCAGGTTGAGCAGTTTGGAGACAAAGTTAGAGAGGAAGGCTGAGATGGTTTTGACATGTGCAGAGGAGGGATAGTGGATAGTGCACTGCACAAAGGATGTTGAATACGGAGCTGCTAGGAGCATGAGGAAAAGAATAAGATCACAGAGAAGATTTGTGGATGCAGTGAAGGGAGGACATGCATAGGGTTGGTGTGACAGAGGAGGATGCTAGGGGTACGGAGATGAAGCAGATTATTCGCTGTGGCGACCTCTAAAGGGAGTAGCTAGAAGAAGAAGAAGAAGAAGAAGAAGAAGAAGCAATCATAATAACATCTGAGGAAATAGCATACCTTTGAGAATTTATAAGAATTACAACGAAAAGCAAATAATGATGTTTTTGTATCTGGACATAGAAAATAAATACCTGAGTGTTTTTCTATGGATGAAGAGTATTTGTTTTTAAGGTTAAGTGGTATATGTCCTTTCAATATTCAATTACTCTTTCACGGCACAAGTGGGAAAAACACAGCTTAGCTACAGTAATGAATTTGTGCTGCTAATAGAAAACTTGCTGTCCAAAAACTGGTAAAAATGAACAATTTTGATAGTTATTGCAACCATTTCACATTTTTATTCGCTGTTCTCTTTGTGTTTAGCGGTTTTGGACCTTAGAAGCAATTTAAATATATCACCTTGTTTTATTGACCAATCATCTATTTAAGATGGTAATAGATGATGAAAACAAGCTTGTTGGTAATCATTAGATTTGCAGTGTAAAAAGTAAATGTCAAGTTAATACCTTAGTTAAAAATAGAAGCTGGATCTGATGTAGGCCTGCAGGATATCTGATGGAGAGGTGATTAGAATATCAGGTCACTGTGAATTTATAAACCTATGGCAAGAGGGGGGAAATTACAGCAAACTTTCTGAGAGAAGGGGAAGAGATTCAAAGAGATTTTTAAAGTAAGAGTGTTTCAAATGTGTACAAGCTGTTCCTCTTTGGTAAAGCTGAGGCCATCACAGCAGTAAATAGCAAAGATGGGGTTTTTTCATGTGAAAATGCTGTCATGTGTCTTGAGTGCTTTGACTCTATGTTTGGGATATCAAACAAACAGAAATGTGTTCAGTGTTCATGATGCAACTCTATCAATTTTTCATTTTTTTTCTTTCTTTAAAAAAAATCTTTGACAGGGTGTGTAGGATTTGGAGTAAGCCCTGAATAATTTGTCGGGAGTAAGTGGGACATGAATAATTAAGGTTTGGGATACACAGAGCTGTGTTCATCGGCGGAGCGAGGGGAGCGGGTCCCCGCCACTTCCTGCTCTGTGCGTGGAGTTAATCAGCCTTCAAATGCAGTCCATTCATTTGTCAGCGTTATGTTGTGTCATGATGAGTCTGTAATTGCAGCTTAAAATGTCAGCGTTCTGCTGGCGGACAAACTCGGTGATTTTGATGCAGAAAATATTGGCCAACACCGGCAGAACGTGAGAGACGCGCGCAGTTTCGTGTTTTCAGGTGGACATCACGTCTCCATGCCCCTCACACACGTCGCTGTATCCATGAGAGACCGTTTATCGTATAGAGACCCAGGCTTGGATGGAGGCTTCTGGAAAATGGAGTTGCCATGGCAACAGCAAGCCGCGAGAGGTGCTATTTGGTCTGTGGTGTGACGCTCTTGATGGAGGGGAGTGTGGGTGCAGGTGGGGGGGATTGCCCAAAGATGGGGACGAGGGAGAGTGGAGTCGGTTTAAAGTTAGTATCTGTGTCCCCGTGGAACCAGGACGACGCTGCAGCTCGCTCCACCCAGCTCAGCGTGACCTGCCAGCTTCAGAGAGTGCGCGCGCGTGTGTGCGTGTGCAAGAAATGTCTGTGTCATTGTCTCTGGTGAGACAGTTTCCTCATCACTGTACATCTGTAAGCACTATCGCATTGTTTTTGCCCCCGCTGATGGGGATTTGTGTTGTTCCTTCAGCTTCATATTTGCACATGTGTCCTCTGTGGCTCTGTCTGTCTGTCTGCCCCTCTTTTTCTCTCTTTTTCAATGTCCATTCACCGACATCTTTCTGTCAAAGATAAAACAAAGGAAAATTCAGCCATAAAACCAGATCCAGAGCCTGTTCGCTACAAAGATATGCTTTATATATAATGCAGCACATAAAGGCATTTAAAGGGTAAAAGAAAAGCTGCAGATAATAATAAAATTGTAAATGAATTAAAGTTTTTAAAAATCTCTTTGTTTTAAAGAATTCTTTTGGCTGCCAATTCCTCAGCCCATGGGGATATATATATGTGTATATATGTAGATAGATAGATAGATAGATAGATAGATAGATAGATAGATAGATAGATAGATAGATAGATAGATAGATAGATAGATAGATCTCACTGGTATAAAGCCTGAAACTAGTTGAGGTTATTATATAATATTCCTGCTGAATCTTGCATTTCTTTCAAGACAAATGTTGCAGCTGAGATTAAGTGACTTGTGATTTATACTTCTGTAGAGTCTGGAAAAGAAATATATCCATGACCTCAGAATTAAATTAAAGGCTGAGCTACAGAGGAACAAAAATAAGAATAAGAATACATTTTAACAGTTGCCTTGGTACTCTACCTCCCACACTAATACTGCTGTCTGTGCTGCTGGTAAAGAGTTTTTATCATGTAATTTGTCCACTCTACAAAATATTATTTCAGCCTGTGACTGTAGGTTACACTGAGTGATAGAATTACACAGTAAAACAGGATTTGGTATTATGATGACAGTTAACCAATGTACTAGGTACATTTGGCCATAATCTCGCCATCATTTATCACCGTGACCGTTTTTAATAATTCTCAGTCATCATAGTTGACTGAGAATTAATGTTCATAATGTTCTGGTGATGTTCATATCGCTAAGAGGTAGTGACAGGAAAGCAACACAAACAGCTGTTTTTGCAGGGTCTAGTCATTCCACAAAGTGTGGTTAATGTAGCAAATATATTGTTAAAAATGCAATGAAAGAAGGTGTGTTGTGTATGAAAGTTTTTCACAGACAGTTCCTTCAGGAATGAACTATAGGATGGGAGGTAAATAGTGACTCAAATAGCCACTGTCATAACCGAGGTATGTAGAAGAGCATCTCAAATCTTGAAGCAGATGGGCTACAGCAGCAGAAGAACACACCCGGTGCCACTCCTGTCAGCTAAGAACAGGGAATTGAGATTATAATTCACAGTGGCTCATCAACATTTTGAACAAAAATAGATGCCTAGTAACTAAGTGAACACATTTTCTGTACAATAACAACGTTAACAGACGGAGGATTTAGTGCGCTCATCTCTAGAGTCCGACGTCTGCCGCAAGTTTAAAATGATGCTGATTATGAGTTAGCTATCATAAAGAGACATTTACTTTCTGTCTCCTCTCCTCCTCTAAACTGATTTCAACAAACTGTGTACACCCAGAGTCAGCCCTCAAGATTGTTTTCATACAAGGAAAATCTCCAGTGCAGTAAATCTATGTGTTCCTTGAGTCCAGTGTTAGAGGATTACTCAACAAAACATTATTTCGCAGAATGCTGCATGAGCATACGTGTTTCTACAAATAATTCTGAAACACTGTGACTTATATTTGACTCAAATCTTAACCCACTTTAGGTTATTTGACTTTCTTATGCAAACGATCTTCCATCACAAGCCTTTTGAATCAGGTTTCATCTTCTCGATACCACAGCGCACCGAGTGGCATACTCGGTCTTGTTTCAGTTGACACTGACTTCTATAAAATTCATGAAATGAGGGGAACTGCACAGGGAATAAAATGAATTATCTCACTCCAGCTGGCTCATATCTCTTTTCTTTTTCTTCTTTTAGTCTTCGAGGGTGAATAAAAGAATTAATGGCTCGTTAAGGTTGGTTTTGCCAGTTAATCACAGTAAGAGGGAGAAAAGAAGGTGGTTTAACAATGTTAGGGTAAAGTAAAGATAACTGCCATGCTGGCTAACTCGTATAGACTTGCACATTTGTACACTTGATTGAATTTTCTGGGTGCTCACAGTTGGGGGAGTGACAGCCTCTTTGAGCTCAGAGGGTGGATGGGGGCGCTTGAACATTAATGCTGCTCACTGTGTTGGATCCACAGATAGTTAGGCCAAACCTGGCCAGCAATCATACTACTGCTAAGTGTTTTTGGGACATTGTGTGTGTTTTAGAAACTCAAGGTTTATTATTATAGTTTTCTGCTTTATCCTGACTCTGAACTGAATCCAGTGACTGTTTTAGACCGTAACAATGCTGGAGACACTTAATTAAAGTCATATTTTATTTTTTTATTTTTTTATTTCAAATGAAGCTAACTAACTGTGGTTTTCACTCATCATCAAAAGCAACTTCATGGTTGCTAAGTCTGCTGTAAAATGTTACCAAGGGTTGAATGGTTGTGTTAAAGGGTTGAGTAGAGCTATTTTGCATAAAAATAGCAAGAATATGTTTAAATATAAATCTATATTTTAAGTCAAATTATTTATTTAGGGGGCAGTACAGCAATGCAGTGGTTAGCATCACCTCACAACAAGAAGGTCTTGGCTTTGAATCCATCGGCCAGCCGAGTGCTCCCTCTGCGTGGAGTCTAAATGTTTTCGCCGGAGACTCCGGCTTCCTCTCGCGATCCAGAATGTTAGGTTTACCAACGACTCTAAATTAGCCATGGGCGTGAATATGAGCGGTACTGGTTGCCTCCATGATCTCTCCATGATAACCGTGTGACATACTGCCAGCCTGTCCACGGTGTACCCTGCCTCTTGCCCGATGACAGCTAGGATAGGCTCCAGCCCCCATGCAACCCTGACTTGGGTAAGATAAAGGTCAGGGATGGATGAATAATGTATTTATACTAAATCCTACCGAACTGACTCCAGATCAGCACATACACCCCTATAAAAACTATCAACTTAGAATATTGGGCCTGTTTTTAGGCTAGTTTTGATTAGTTAGTCACTGGGCTGCCTGCATCTCACACAAACCCCTCAAAAATGAATGTGAGGAGCAATACCACCCAAAATAGCACATAGACTCAAAGCAGAGGAATACCCAAGTGCTTTATGCCCTATATCACGTTATATATATTGGTTTGTTTTTGTTCCTGTGTTTCAACTCAACTTTTCACCGATGAATCCCGTCTTCCTCTGTTTTTGCTCTGAACGTTTGCCCTCAGTTGTATGCACCAGCAGTCAAGAATGGACGATGAGCCAAACTGTGCAAGAGCTACATCTGGTAAGCAGGAGACTATAGTTTTTACAAATCAGTTTGTGGATTTAATATTGAATTTATCATTTCTCTCTCTGTCTCTGCTCTTCAGGGTGTTTTGGGTGGTCTGTGCAGTGGGAAGTCTGCTCTGGTCCACAGACATTTAACTGGAAGTTACCTCTCACTGGAGAACTCAGAAGGTTGGTTTAACATCTCCACCCATTAAGAGCAGAGCTTTGTGAATTCAGTTCAGATTGATTTGGTTTAACTTATATAGTTGACAACAACAGTCATCTCAACTCTAAAATGTAAGGTAAAGGCTGAACACTATTAAAGTCAGATCTCCGACAAGCGACACCTGAGTCTCCTCCAGCAGATGGATGCTGGCTGTTTCTGATTTAGATGATCCAGGATCATTCTTTTAATCACTTTAATCACAATTTTAGTGATGTAAATATCAAATGAGTTATTATGTAAAAGCTTTAAAAACATTTGTTTGTTCCAATATTTGCCAGGACGCCAGTATATTAAGGATGTGCTAGTTGATGGTCAGAGCCATCTGCTGATAATCAGAGAAGAGACAGAACTCCCGGATCCTCAGGTGGGTGGAGAATCGAGCTGAACTTGTTTGAGGGCTTATTTTTAATAAGAGTAAGTATTTCTTCCCTCTTGTACTTTTTGACTGCTATTATTTTTCCCTTTTGTTAGTTTGCAAGTTGGGTGGACGCAGTAATCTTGGTCTTCAGTTTGGAAAATGAGGCCAGCTTCCAGGAAGTTTACAAAATCTATCACCAGCTTGCAATCCATCGGCCCGTAACTGAGATCGCTTTCATAGTCGTTGGCACTCAGGGTAAGATGCTCACGCTCAGCATCTGTGCTTCCTTTATAATGAACTCTCGTTGTAGTTGGGTGATTTTTGCTTATTCCAGATAAGATCAGCAGCACCAACCCCAGAGTGATAGATGATGCCAGGGCCAGACAGCTCTGTTCAGACGTGCGGCGCTGCACTTACTATGAAACCTGTGCGACGTACGGCCTCAATGTGAACAGAGTCTTCACGGATGGTATGTACGTCTGTCATATCCAGAACCATATGGTGTGTGGTGCTGTAGAGGATGGACAAATATGAATTTTATTGGGGACTAATGTTTCATTTTTTTAATTTAACTTCTGGGTTTTGTTTTGTTTTTTTGCCACAGCTGCTCAGAAGATCATGGCAGCTAAGAAACAAGCTGCCCTACTGGCTTCTTGTAAATCTCTTCCCAATTCTCCCAGCCACTCTGGAGGCTCCACCCCAGTCTCCGGTGTCTTTCCAGGACAGGTAAAACCAGCACCTTGCCTGTTGTCCATAAGAAGCAGCTTTTGTTACTCTATTTTCTGTATTTCATTTTGCTGTCAGGCTATTTTTAAAGTGTGCATGCTGTTGTATCAGGCTTAGCTATTTGCTCCTTCTGCTCAATTATCACTTCATCTCCTCCGTCCTCCTCCTGTTCCTGTTTTTTTCCCTCTATCTCCCTCTCTTTAGGCGAGTAACGGTGGGCAGAGCAGCGACTACTCGTCCTCACTTCCCTCCACTCCTGTGATCAGTCACAAAGAGATTGGCAGAACACTGAGAGGGGAGAAGCAGGACGGTACTACACCTGTCTTGGTCCGTAGCGTCCGAAGACGCACCACGAGATTTGCGGTAAACTTTACTCAGTGCAAGCTCCAATCATGCTTAGAGACCCTTTTGCATTTTTACTGTCAATCTTCTTTCCTCCACTTTTTTTCTTACTCCAAGCCAACCCTTCAGTAGGTTTCCATGTTTAGAAAATGAGCTGTAAACACTTGACAGGACAAACCAAACCCAATGCAGGAACATACTTGTGGTCTTAAGTTATATAATACAGACAGCTAATTAAGCTGAAGTGACCCTACATTAACTACAGCGTGCTAAATTATCAGCTAACTGTAGGCACAAGCTGCGTCCAGTGATGCAAAATAATTCCAGTAAAATTGTTTTCCTCATCAAAGCTGAAGCACTGACTTCTTCGTTTTTCTGTTTGTGGAATTAAGAAATTCAGGTAACTATGCAGCAAATTATTACTTGACATCGGCTCGGTCACATTAGAAAATCTTAGTGGTTCAAAATATAATTTTGATGATGCTGAAAGTTTGTTGCATGCTTTAGATAAGTACTGGGCAAAAGTCTTGAGCCATTCCTCATTTCCTTATATTTTTCTTCCAAGAAGCCAGGCTTTGTAGCAGTTGCTTTGAGTAATAGTTCTCCAGGGTTTCTGAAGTTTTTCTCAAGGGATTTTCAGAGAAATGTCTTTTTTGTTTGTTTTTTGACACTTTCTTAGTATATATTTTAAACTTATCTTTAGCCACTTTGTTAGTAACAGGCTGTTTCAAAAAAGTAATGATCCCAAACACACAATGGATCACTATCATTCAGAGCCCGGACCTGAACATTATTAAAGTAGCGTGAGCTCAAACTGACAGACAACAAAACAAAAGGCAGCCAACATCCAACGGGGAGCTTTTAATGTCCGTCAAGAAGCCTGGAGAACTATTCCTGAAGACTACTTATAGAAATTAGAAGAAAACTTGCCTAAGAGAGTTTAAACTGTGCTAAAGAATACATATCATGCCATACCATATTTCCATTTATGTTTGTATATCACTGCATCTTTTTCTCATTTTCCACCCTTTATTTTGAAATATAGAGACATGAGGGATGGCTGAACACTTTTCCACATCATTGCAATAATATAGAGCAGAGTAATATAGAGATAGGTGGGGCTAACAGTCAAAGACAATACACTGGCAGAGACATGTTGTCATGTTCCTGGGTCTGTTGACCCGGCGTTTTAAGTTTTAGTTTATTTGGATGTTGTTTATGTTTAAGTTCATTAGATTAGCGAAGTTCATTTGGTTATTAGACTCCTTGTGTTTTCTTCCCCTGTATTTAAATTTCCCTCACCCTTTGTTTCATGCGTGTCTTATGTTATCAAGTTTGTATTATCATGTCTGTCTCATGTTTCCTGTTTTATTTTGAAGGAGTCGTGTGTTCTTTGTTCATTGTCCTGTCATTAGGCTCATGTCAGTCAGCTGTTCCTCCATGTGTTCCCACTTGCCCTAATCACCTCCTGTGTATTTAAGTCCTCTGTTTTCAGTGTGTCATTGTCAGGTCGTCTGTTGTCCACGCCATGCTTCCAAGTTTCATGTCTAGGTTTTTCTTGTTGTTTGTTTAGTTCTCCCAGTTTAGGTTAATGTTAGTTTTACTTTAGTATGCCTTGCCCTTTGTTTGTACCTTTTTTACCAGCCATATTAAATGACTTGCTTTTTGTTAACATTCAAGTTTTGTTCCCTGTTCCTTGGAGTCTGCATTTTGGGTCCACTCTTCACAATATATACAGTCTGCCTCCACCAGACTCTAACACATGCACTGTAATATCCATTACAAACATTACATATTTGTAATGTCTATTATGTCTATAATGTAATTATAATATTATATTCACTTGGGGTTTTGTTGAATGCTGTGAAAATTCAGCCTTATGGGAAAAACAATCTGAAATGTCATTAAAAACCTGCATTAACAAATGTTTGCATCACCTTGGAGACCTACTCATCTGGCTGACTCAACATTTGAATCTAATAATTAATGCTTATGTTTAATCACATGGATCATACTGGCTTTTAAGCTGCTAAATGCACCACATATATAGAAATCCTTCACTCATTTTGTCAGTGTTTTTTTACACTGGGCAGGCAGTTTATTCAGAGGATTATCAGAACAGCAGCCTCCTGTGTCTGAGGCTGAAGTTGATTATAGTGAACAGAAGAGTAAAGCTGTGGGTCAGAAAAGCTAAACAGTGGTCTTACAGACGCCACACAGATGAGGAAAACTACAGAATTAGGGTGGTAATTCTCTCTGCGTTTATTGCTATAAGTGACCAGAGCTGTAAGCATTTGATTAGACACTTGCATAAAAATACAGATTAATGCAGCTTCATGTAAAGCTACAGACAATTATTCTGAACCAGTTGCTTTAAATACACACTTATAAGCCAGCTTTTACAGCCAGCAGAAACTTTCCAGCAGAAACTCTGGGAAATATAAATTAAAATCAGCAGTAAGCTGCCCATTCCTGCCTGATGCAGTTATTGTCCATCCTTCCCTTCCTTTAGGGCCGGAGAGGCAGCGACTCAAACAGAAGGAGCGCAGACTTTAAGGGCGATCTGGGCAGCGGGCGCTCCATTCCCATCAAACAGGTAGGGCACCGATTTGCACTTGATACAGAAACAAATATGATGTATCAGATGACCCTCAGCAGAGGACATCTCACCAGCAGTCACTTCAGACGTGTGAAGCCAATTTCATCGTGTGGCGTGATGAAGTGCTGTGAGCTCCCATTCTGCCCTGATGAATAGTTAGTGGGTGTTTTTGGCAGCCAGCTTTCATTATGCTGCCGTAATATGTGAAATGAACACTTGAGACATTAGCAATAAATTGACAGTCTTCTGTGTTGTCGCCTCTGTAAGGGCATCTTGCTGAAGCGCAGTGGGAACTCGCTCAACAAAGAGTGGAAGAAGAAGTATGTGACATTGTCCAATGATGGCATACTGTCCTATCACTCCAGTGTCAATGTGAGTCGGCGTGTTAACAGAGCGCTCCAGAGCATTATGCTGCTGAAAGCACGACTGATGTTTGATGGTAATGGCTGATGTCTGGTTTGGCAGGACTACATGCTGAATGCCCCCGGGAAAGAGATGGACCTGCTGCGAGTGACAGTGAAGGTGCCGGGAAAGCGGCCGCCTCGCGCCATCCCTGCCTGCGCCCCCCCAGCTGGGCTTAACGGACGGGTCAAAGACGTTCAAGGAACTGAGGGTAAAGATGTTCTCTATGGTACACAAAAGAGGGAAAAATCTTTAGATGTCTCACAATAGCTAAACCTTATATATATATAAATAAACCTCATGTAAATTAATTATGTCATCTAAAGTTACTGTGATATTGAACAGATTTTGGTCTGGCTAATCTAAGAAGCTCAAGATTGTAAATCTCCATGCTGGTACTTTTCTCTGTGGAGCTGATAAGATGAAATATTTTACCTGATGACCTTTTTCTATTAGAGACAGTGATAAAAAAAAATGTAGATATGTAGAAAAGAAGGCTGCAGAACTGCTTTGTACGTATTGTTCTTGGTATTTTAAGACAATTGTAAATGGAGGGGTCAAGCATTTGTGCAAACGGGGGGAAATTGCAGCAGGCTGTGAAACCTCTACAAGACTACAAAACAGCATCATAAGGAATTTTGCAAGTGCTTTAAGAGTGTGTGGGGAAACTAAATCAGTAACGCATGCAAGTGTCAGAAAGTGTCACTGTTTGTTTTCACATTTAGTGTTTGACTAAATTGCTTTATTATTAAGTATGTGGTTGTTTATATGGTTGCTACCCTTCCTGTAGTCCCAATGAGTGCAAGCAGTCTCCTGCAAGTTGAGGAGATGGAGGGGCTGGGTGGTGCCCTGTTCCTGAGGGGTAACAGAGGTGTGCAGCGATGTCCTTCCACACTATCTAACCACGCTCAAAGCATTGGTGAGTATGGGACTAAAAACATGTAAGACAGTGAAATTTCTGAAATGTAACAAAAACAAAATGTTATTAAAAATGTTTCAAAACTACAAAGACAGTATGGCTGTGATCTTTGAGCCCTCACTGCATGGGTTCAGCAACACTTCACAGCACACTGTCATTAACGTCGCCTCCACAAATGCAAGAAAAATCTTTACTTTGCAGAGAAAGAAAAACATTCTTTAAAAAAATTAGGAAGGCTGTCACCTTTTCAGGCCACAAGCTCATTTAGGCTAGACTGAGAAAAAGTAGGAAACTATTCTGTGGACCATCCAGTCACAATTTGAAATTATTTTTGGGTGGCATGGTTACCGCATCCTCCCAGCTACAGAGAAGAGGGACCATCCAGCTTGGTATCAGCATACAGTCCAGAAGCCAGCATCCATAAAGGCGTGGCACGATATTTGTGCATTTGGCCTGAAAGACATACAAAGGGTTTGTTCCCATGCAGATGATGTCATTTTCGGGAAATGTCTTGCTTTTTTTTCAGCATGACAAAACATTCCTCACCATCTGCAGCTGTGTGGCTCCACAGCAAAAGAGCTCAGTATTGAAAACGAATTTAACAATATGAAAAGAAAAACATGACAAATGAGGCCCTGAAATATTGAGCAGCTGAAATAGTATTTTGAGCTAGGATGGGAAAATATTTCTCTTTTAGAACAACAACAATATTTGTTTCACTTAGTTCTCATAAGCCCAGAGTTGATGCAACACAGTGGTAAACATGTCCCTGCACCAACCTTTTAAAAAGGTGTTGCTGATATCAAATTTAAAACGAGCACCTATTAAAAAAAAACAACATAGAAAAACCTTAAAATCTCTCAGTTTCAGCATTTGATTTTTTTTTTTTTACTATTTCCACCAATTTGTGAATGATTGCATTCTGTGTATAAGTCATACAGTGTCCTGCTTTTTCGGAAACAGGGTTGTAGTAATTTTACGTTTGTTATCCTGTCTGCTCGTTACAAGACTCTGCAGTTGAGGGCGTCTCGAGCTCTTCCTCTACCAAAGACGTAGGTTCTGCCTCCCCTGTCACGGACAGAAAAAAGCATCGCAGAAAGAAGAGCATGAATCAGAAAGGAGATGCCACCGCCGGCCAAGCAGATGGTAAATGATTACAAGCTTCAAATATGTTTTCATAGGCACCGATCGGGATGTTTCTAATGATATTTGTAGCTTTACTACACATGACGAAGACTTTGTGTTTTTCGCTGATATTTTCTCTCTTCTCTTATGCAGCTAAGCGCAAAATGTGGAAACTCAAAAGCTTTGGTAGCTTAAGAAACGTAAGCAAGACAGGTAATATAAATCAGCTGCGCTGCCTCCACACATGCCAGGCTATCACATTAAGAGTCAAGCTTCTAATTTAAAATATTGACAATTAATCAATTAAATCCTGCAGATCAGCAGCATAAAACTAAACCTTGCTTATGCACAACTGTGATCCTGAAGTGATGTTAATAACCTACTGCTCAAATTTCTGCATCCAGAAATCATTAAAAAAAAAAATCTGAGCTCTGTGTTATTGTCTTTCTTGTCTCAGACGAGGATAACTTTGACTTCCTCATTGTGTCGAGCACTGGTCAGACGTGGCATTTTGAAGCACAAAGTGTGGAAGAGAGGGACTCCTGGGTCCAAGCCATCGAGAACCAGATCCTGGCCAGCCTGCAGCTGTGTGAAAGCAGCAAAAACAAGGCAAGAAACGACAGGAAAACATTCACTCTCTGACACACAGCAATCTAGTTTTTCATTCATTCATTTTATTGCCAGTGACAAATGGTAAATATTACAGACTTCCTGCAGATAAAAAGCTCCTTGAGAAAAAACAAGAACAGTGATTTTTTTTTAAAGATCCACCCTAAGTTGTTGTTTTTTTGCTTTCTGTTACTGTCAGTACAATGACTGCGGTCATTCATCACTTTTTTCTTTGCAGAAATAGATTTAAACAGGAGAGTTCACACAAGTTCATTTATTCTGGTTACTGTTTGCCTCTCACAGGCTCGAAGGAACAGCCAGAGTGATGCAGTGGCTCTGCAGGCGATACGCAATGCAAAGGGCAACAACTTCTGTGTGGACTGTGACGCTCCCAGTAAGTCATGCTTGCCTATTTCATCCCTAATTTGACTGCTCTGTTTGCTTTCACGTTTGGAAGTTTTAATCAGAGCCGAGACCTCTTTTGTTGTTGGTGTAAGAAGCTGCATAGAGCGAGGAGAAAATAATTTGCTGCGGACTTGAACTTCTTTGTGTTCGGACTCTAGAACAAATGTGGACAATCACCGTGGAAAATGGGTATGACCCTCCTCCATCTGACAGTCTGAAAATAGCTTTCCGTGCCTTAGAGCGTTCAAAGCGGGGTACTTTTAACTTTTAAATTGGTATTTAGCATATTTGAAAACAGTCATTCATCCGCATGCTATGAGATAAGACAATGGAGTGTGAATGCAAATATTTTTACTGTATGTGCCTTTGTGTGGTATTTTTCACATCCCACACGTACCACATTTTTCATATGATCTCTGTATTGTTTGAGGGCCAGATAAAGAATTTTGATGACTTATCAGATCTAAATTAAATTTAATGCTGAGGTTTATTTTTATGCTGATTTCTCAGACTCTTCTGTTGTGCACCATGGCCGATCGGGCGCATTTTAGTGGCACGCAGCCAAATGAAATTGGTAGACTGTCAGTTTCAAATGAAGTTAATTTGTTGTGTGCACGCTCCCTCTTCAAGATCCGACCTGGGCCAGTCTGAATCTGGGCGCTCTCATATGCATCGAGTGTTCCGGCATCCACAGAAACCTGGGGACTCACCTGTCACGGGTTCGCTCTCTGGCGCTGGATGATTTGCCACGAGAGCTGACGCTGGTTCTCAGTGCTATCGGCAACCACATGGTCAACAGTATATGGGAGGCACGCACAATGGGCCACCGTAAACCAGCACCCGATGCTACACGGTAAGGACAAATCATCTTTATATATATATATATATATATACACACAAGTTTTCTTTTTTTACAGTATGGACACATGAGCTGTGCAGCTCTTTCTCTGAGTCCACTGGAAAGTCCAGTGCTGTCATCTGTCAGCTGTAAATGCTGATGACTCACTTGTTTCTCTGTCCTTGTCTAGAGAGGAGCGGGAATCGTGGATAAGAGCCAAATACGAGCAGAAACTGTTTGTGGCGCCGTTGCCTCCTCCTACGAGCGAGGGCCCAGACATCACTCTATCTGGCCGTCTTCTGTTGGCAGTGATGGAGCACAATCTCCCCAAGCTGCTGCTACTTTTGGCCCACTGCACTAAGGAGGACATTAATGCCCCTCTCAGCCTGGCACGCTCCTCCCGGTCGCTCTTAGCTCTGCGGCTGCCCGCTTCCCCCCTGCACGCTGCCTGTCAGCAGGCTGATGTGGTGATGACGCAGCTTCTAATTTGGGTTTGTTTCCCTTTGTCTCTCTTTTTTTTATCTTACACTGGTCCAGCTACGAAGCAGGTATTCTCAAAAATATATAGGGATGTTGCTGCAGTGGAGGTACTTGGTTAAGTAATGATTATAAATTTCTTCATCACAGCAAACCATTTTGTAGAGCTGTGCAAAAATGGTAAAATTACCTCCTCTGAGTCGTTCACTCAGCAAAGAACAAAAGTGGTCTAAATAGATGACTCAGCAGACAACTGAAGGTGATCTAAATGTCTGAAAGGTACAAAAGCTCTCTTAATCGCACCTTTCTGACATCATTTAGAGCAATCCTGTTCAGGCTTAACTTTTTTCCTACACATTCTAAAACTTCCTTGAAGTGTGGAGGATGGGATTATTACATAATCTAATCCACTTTGCTTTCTTCTCTTTTCCCGCCTGCAGTATGGCTGCGATGTTCGGTATCGGGATGCTCAAGGCCAGACAGCGTTGGCTCTGGCTCACAGCGCTGGCAGCCAAGAGTGTGTCGACATCTTGCTCCAGCACGGATGCCCGAACGAGCCGCCCCCATCCGTCGCCGCGACAGTCGGTTTCGCAGCGGCAGCCACATCCAGCTTCCCTGTTGCCATGACACCAAGCCTGACGGTTGCCACGACACTCAAGATCTCGCACAAGAGCGGCGGCACAAGCTTGAGTTACAGCACCTCCAGAAGAGCAGTGTCATAACCGAAATGTGGTGTGGCATAAAGCCTGTGCGTCAGAGTGTGTTAGAGTATATGTTTGTGTGTGTGAGTTTGTCACTTTACCCTCATAGTGTCATTGCGCGTCCACACAGGCCAGCGGGACTGATGGACATGTTGCCAGATGTTGCACTCGTAGAGCCAGATGAGGTTCTAAAAGGTGTCTGTGTGTGTATCAGGAGTGTAAACTGTGAATCACACAGCCACATGCAATCTGCTTGAACGATTTAACCAAAAAAAAAAAGGCAAAGTCTTCTCATTACGCTTTACAAGTGACGGTAAGGTAAAAGGAATACGACATCCTCTGCCTCTGCATTCAGGTTTAAAGGAATGTATTTATCCTGTATGGAGGACTGAAAGTGCCAAAATAAAAATAAGCGCATAAATGACAAAATGTATATAGATGAAATACAATTAAAATTATATTAAAATTAATATAAGCAAAGGTTAATTTATAAAATGTGACAGGCTGATATAGCATCTTCAGTTCTTCAATGATCTCCCTAGGCAGTTTTTTCTGTTGTCAGACTGGCATTTATTAACCAATTGACAAAAAGCTGATCCCACTTTAACTGAGGCAATTGTAGAAATAAATATAAAAGAAGGGAAATATACAGAAATAAATAGAAGGGGGATTAGGTTGCAAAGGGAAAAAATGTAAAATAAATAAAATTTAAATTTATTTATTTAAATGTATTCTTACTTTTTTTTTATTTTGGCACTTATAGTCCTCCATAGTTTATATCAGATTGTATGATTCACGTTTCAGAATGCAGTCAGTGTTCAACTTTATTCTCCACTCCATTAAAAATGGCCTCAAAGAAGCTTATCAGAGTATCTCCAGGCCAGACGTAAAGAGCTGCAATAAATTTTACGATTTGAGGGGCATCTTGAATTTCTAGCGTTAAAGATCGCAACAGTTTTTCATTTGGACTGTGAATGTGTGTTTATGCTTAACACAGCTGCTAATTCAGCTCATAAACGATGTGTAAGCCGACATGAAAAGGGGAGGGCTGTTTTAGAGATAAACAGAGTACGTGTATAGAAAAGCATTGATAAAATACTATGATTCAAAAAAAAAAAAGCCTAATTTTCCAGAGTGTTATTGTATGATTTGTACAGTTGGTTATGTGTATAAAAATCCAAGGGTTACTCTGTTCAGAGATTTACTGTACAGCGCCCCGGCCCAGTTATTCTTTGATAACCGCCCGATTAACTCTTTGACATCCAAAACGGGAGGTTTTTATGTTACGTTTGTATCGGTGTGTCTGACATAAATAATGTATAGGATGTATGCATTATGACTCCAGCAGTAGCTCATTATCAAGGCGAGTGTAAAACTAGATGTGCAAATGAACAAGTGAAATGCCTTGATTTTGGTCGAATGTAGAGAAAAAAAACAGATAAGTTAACTGTTTTAAAATACTAACATGTTTTTCCAGATAATGCAGTTTTTGGTGGACTGTCAGGGTGTTTTGTTTTTTATTCCTGCTGTGTCTAATAGAAAGGGAAAGTAGGGTTTGCCAGATGCAGATGTAGGCTCTCATCTACAAAACCTGGATTTTGAACGATTCGATATTTGTAAACATGCACCAGAGGAATGTTCCCCGATTTAATAGCTTTTTTTAACGGCATAAAAACATCTCTCCTGCGGTACTGTACGTATAAACTTGTGTTTATCTGAAGGCTCAGCTGACTATACATGTCTGTGATTTAAACATCTTCTTCCATTTGTATTCCATTTGTATTTTTTTACTCATGCAATGATTCACAGAGTATTCATTATTAATACACTAAGGCTACTGCCCAAGCTGTGGTGTTTTTGCTTAGAGTTGTGTGTGTGTGTGTGTGTGTGTGTGTGTGTGTGTGTGTGTGTGTGTGTGTGTGTGTGTGTGTGAGAGCTGTGCATGAAGTGTGGTGGATCCAAAGCATCATGGGAATTTTCCATATATGCGGTGTTATACATTCATCATGAGACCTTCAGGTTTGCTCTGTGATAGAAATAAATATTTAGAAG